CCATGGGCCATCAACGCCACCATAACGGAACTCAGGTCCGCTACCATCTTCTCCGCCTCCACGGGTAGCTTCGCCCATGATAGTCTCGAGGTCGCGGCGCTGAGAGCTGATCCAGCGACGAACAAAATTGGCCGGGTCCTTGCTCAGAGCAGTGTAGAATGAGTGGCGAGCACGAGAGTGTGTAAGGGCCTGGACAATCAAAGCGACTTGGTCATCAAGGGAGGAGATCTGGCGTAGGCCACTTGTGTACGCCGGGTTCTGAGTGAGAGCCATCATCTTGGTGCGCAGCGGGTCTTCAACTGCGACCTGGATATCGTAGATGGTCGGGGTTGGGTCGGCGTGGAAGTCTTCGTCGACACGAATGGTGTAGGGAAGTTTGATTGGTTCCATTGGGCTCGTGTGAGGACCGACGCTTTCAGGGATCTGGGGAAAGAACATTTGCTCCCGGCCAAAGATCTACAGAACTTGTTAGGGGGGTTTGGGAAGACCAAATATTTGAAGTACATACCGAGCGTAGACGGTGATCACAGCGCACTTGTCGCTTCTCCTCGTCTTCCTGCAATTCCATGGCGCGGATGTAATCCCAGATTCCGAGAACAATTCCACTCCGGGTCTCCTCTTCGACATCCAGAACCTCGGCTAGCTCCTTGCTCAACTTGTATCGCTCTGGGATTTCGTCCCGGACAAGGCTGATGGTGACATTCAGATTGTCCTGCGAGGCCCGGGAGAACTGTAGACTATCAAACTCGGCATCCGGGGGCGCTGGTGTGCTGGAGTGTGTGTTTGGTTTAGACCAGTTAACTGGCTTGACCTCGTCGGGGATTGCAGAGACGGGCTTGTCAAAATCGATGTTGATAGCCTTGAAGAAGTGCGAGAAGCGCTGGGACTGGCTCTTGGATTCGGATTCCTTCGCCTTATCCTGCTCAGCTCCGTCGTGGTCCATCGCATCTTCATCTTTCTCGTCCTCATCGGGAACCGTAGGGTCAGTTTCATCGTCTAGCAGACGTCCTTCGATGCGAACTTTGTAGCGACCGGAGCCTGGGTTGTTGCCCGGGCCTTGCCATGGCTGGTTTTCGACAGTATTAGAGATCCAGATGCGCATAGTCCGATATTTCTTGACGGTCTTGTTGATGGAGTCTTGGATATCCAGCCTCTTCCGCACGACTGCAGCATCCAACCGCTTTTCTAAGTCGCGAAGGTTTTTATATTGCTGAACACCCTCGCCGATGATCACGTCTTCAATGCCGTCGGGGAGGTTCTTGTCGGTCGGCTTGCGGCTGCGGCGAAGGGCAGCATCATTCGGGTGGGGCATGGGTCGTGAGGCCATGTACTGTTGGGCAACAGCGTGCTGTGGCATCGGAACAGGCATCGCGCCACCTATAGAGATGTAAGATTAGAGTCGAGGCGAATGGGTGGAGACCGATGAAAGGGGCCATACCTGGCCCTGGGGGCCGACGGGGCGCGGCTGGAGATCGCTGTGCATTCGGGGGCATGGCCCGAGCATAATGTTGCTGCATTGGAGCTTGCATTGTGGAGAAATTAAGCACCGAAACGGTGTTGGGAGGATGGCGGATGGGGGGGAAAGATGCGAGATGTTGGAGATGCGAAGGTCGCGATTCTTTTGCCGTCGCGCTTTACCCTTTTCGGACGATCGCGAACAACACTGTTGAGAGCACAAAACTCATTGTTCTACTTGGATTTTGCAGCTGACATTCCATGGATAGCTAAAGCTAAGTATCAGGAGGTATTCTACATGTTTAATACTAATTACGTGCAGAACTAATGGGCATTGAGTGTGATCGTGCATTGTCTCGATTATTTCCTATCAAGTCATCGTCTCAACCGCATTGGATACCCCATCTTCTCTATTCTAGAAGAGACGCCTGGTTAGTATACAGACCTTCCACCACATTGCCGAGCTTTTCGATTGTCTCCAGTGCGGCATCGTAAGCTTGGTCCCGTTCCGTCTCATCGTACACAATCAGACATCCTGAGCCCTGGTCCAATACACCGATGATCACCTTGTCCAAGATCATTTGAGACAACTTCCTTTCCACCTGCTGTGTGTCCAACCCCACCATCTTCGCAATGTGGTCCAGCTCGACCCTGCTGAAGGGCTCAATGACCTTGATCAAGTTCTGTTCCAGCATGGCATCGTAAAGACGACGGAGGTGGTTTCGGATGAATACGTCGCTGCCTAGTTCGAACCTGTAGTTCGAAAGGGCCTTCTCATACTCCTCTAGAGACCGGTTGGCGTGGGCCCGTGCCACGGCCTTCATTGCCTCCAGGCGTGGACTGGCATACTTTTGCGCTTGTTTCGAGCCTTGCAGCTGTGTGACATCATCCACTAGGTTCAGCATGATCTTGCACAGAAGCATGTACTGCAAGGTCGCCGTGGCCAGATCGCTCTCATCGAGCGAGCTGTACCCCTCAAGCGCTTCAATGAAATAGGAGTACGAAGTGGTGAAGTCCTTGTCTTCGGCGTGTAGCATGCCACTCTGCATATCCAAACCGGCCTGCAGGTTCGGCGGCGTGTAAACGGAGGCGGCCGACGTCCGTGCTGCCGTCAGAGCAGCACGTGCCTTGGCCTGGTTGCCCAGAGCGTGGTACACACGCGACTCAAGCAGTTGTACTTCCACTAGCATAAGCTTATCATCCAGGCGCTTCAGCTCACCAAGAAGAGAGTTGATAAGAGTAAGCGCATCGTAATAGGATTGCTTCTGCATATAGATGGCAACGAGTCGGGCTTGGAGGGCCTGGCGAAGAAACGATCGCCGCTCGGCAATAGCCCATTCTATGCATGATTGGATGACGTTGCCTTGGAGTTCGAGTGTGTTGGGGATTTCGCTAATCAGATCCAGAAGTTGACGGACTAAACAATCACAGTTAGCCGGTGTCTATAAACGTGGTTTATCGCGCGACTTACCTAGCTTGGCCGTCTTGGCTTTGGCAAATGACGAGAAGGTGTCACGGCTGGTCTTGATGAGATCCGCGATCTCCTGTGACTTCTTCGCGTCCCGATACAACTCGCTCAACCCAATCAAGGCATGTTCATAGTCTCGTGAAGAGGCCTCTGTAGATCCGGGGCCCTCTGAGAGGATCTTCTGGTAACTGGTCGCTGCTTTCGAGGGATCCTCCTTCACCAGATCTCGGACTTCTTGGATCCGTGGCGAGACCTTGGATGACATGGTCAAAGAGGGTAAATTGCGAGCGAGCGGGATAAGGGATTAACGAGAAAGAGAACAATAGGAGATGGGTGTTTGAAGAGAGATTGATGACCAGGTCGAATGGGGAGCTCGAAGCTGGCGGCAGCTCACTGTCCTCTCACCGCCCGCTTGGCAAATCAAACAGAAAAAAAGTCCCATCTTGGCTTTTTTTCTTTTTTTCTCTACGTCGTTTTCATAACAGCACCATGGTGAGTGATTTTCCTTACAATTTTGTTTCTTGGATAGCCATGCTAATGAATTATAGAAAATCAAAGCACTCTCCCGCTCCACGGCGTCGCAGCAGGCCCCCGGGTCGGCTGTTGTCCGCCAGTCGCGGAATCTGGATCCGACTCAGCATCCTTTTGAGCGAGCTCGTGAATACACTCGAGCTCTGAATGCGATCAAGATGGAGCGCATGTTTGCTGCTCCGTTTCTAGCACAGATGGGTAACGGACACGTTGACGGTGTTTATTCTATGGCAAAGGATCCCGGCTCGCTTGAACGCTTTGCGAGTGGCAGTGGCGACGGTATGGTGAAGGTGTGGGATCTGACGACGCAGGGTGAGGTTTGGAATACCCAAGGCCATGAAAACATGGTGAAAGGGCTGTGCTGGACGCCGGAGCGAAAGCTGCTGTCATGCGCAAGTGACAAGACGATTAAATTGTGGGATCCTTACAACTCATCATCTGAGGCTCCACCAATGGCAACCTATCTCGGAAATAGTGCCTTCACCAGTGTCACGCATCACCGAACCCTCCCTTCTTTTGCTGCCGCTTCCGGTGTCATTTCTATCTATGACCTTTCCCGGCCTTCCTCCACACCATCGCAGACTCTGCACTGGCCGACTAGCGTTGACACCATCACATCTGTTGCGTTCAACCAAACTGAGACTTCTATCCTGGCTTCGACTGCCATGGACCGCTCAGTCATCATGTATGACCTGCGTACTTCCCAGCCGGTACACAAGACGACGTTGAGACTGGCATCTAATGCCATTTCTTGGAACCCAATGGAAGCGTTCAACTTTGCTGTGGCAAACGAGGATCACAACGCCTACATCTTTGATATGAGAAAGATGGACCGTGCTCTCAATGTCCTGAAGGACCATGTGGCTGCTGTTATGGATGTTGATTTCAGCCCCACGGGTGAAGAGCTGGTCACTGCCTCATACGATCGGACAATCCGCCTATGGAATAGATCAACTGGCCACTCGCGTGACATCTACCACACAAAGCGAATGCAACGTGTCTTCTCGGCAACGTTCACGCCTGACAACAAGTATGTCTTGACAGGATCGGACGATGGCAATGTTCGTCTCTGGCGTGCCAATGCATCGGACCGCAGTGGAGTTAAGACTGCTCGTCAACGTTCCAAGCTGGAGTACGACCAAGCCCTGATCAAGCGGTACTCACACATGCCCGAAATTCGCCGCATCAAGCGCCAGCGTCATGTGCCCAAGCCTATCAAGAAGGCTGGTGAAATCAAGCGCGAGGAGCTCAATGCTATTAAAAGGCGTGAGGAGAATGTGCGCAAGCATACTAAGAAGAGCAACCTGGCGCCGAGAACCCATGAGCGCGAGAAGATGATTCTGGCTAGCGAGCAATAAGTCGATCTAGCTGATTTAGCACCATTCGTCGACCAGGCTCGGCTGCGAGACTCGCAATCGAAACTATGGTTAAATGGGGTGATGAAGCAGATCACTCTGCTTTATAATACATCTTGGTTGGACTCATACAAGGGTCCTTCTTCATGATTCATGCCAATATATACCGCTCAGCGCCGTTCGAGCCACTATCAATCTGTCTTCCCAGATCCCTGCCGGCTTTGGGTCACGGCAGCATCTATTCCACTCAGATATCTCGCAAGCCGTTGCACTGTAGCGGGCAGCACAGCATACCAATTTACGAGCTTTGCATAGATAGGCAATCTGATCACACCACCTCGGCCGCTATCAATGGCCGCCACCATCTCTCGGGCGACTTCGACCGGTTCCAAGACTGGCGCAAAGAAATTGTTCGGCGCGCGCACCCAGTCGAACAATGGCGTCGACATCTGCCCAACTTCCACCAGCAATGTCTTGATCAACGGGTTACCCCGAATTTCCGCTTCTATCGTCCGATGCAGCGCGCTAAGTCCGGCTTTGCTTGCTGCGTAGTCTGACAGCCCCGCAGCACTCAGCTGGCCCAGCACGGAGCTGACTGTGACAAGAGTCCCTCCGCTCTCTGCTGCGATGATCCCTGGCAAGAAGACTTGGTACAGATGGAAAGCCGCCAGGAGATTAGTGCGGATAGTCTTTTCGAATGCGTCCGCTGGCAGATCAAGCAGCGACAGGCCGTTGATCCTGGCCGCGGCACAGTTGATAACGATCGTCGGTGTTCCTAGCTGCAAAACATTTAGCGAATCAGACCCCAATTGAAGCAAGCCATCGCGCACTATGAAAAGAAACTTGCCCAACCGTTTCAATCACTAGAACCGTAGTAATAATAAGGCAATATGGGATCGAAGGTAATACAACGAAACCAAAACTAAAAAGAGCAAAACCTACCTCTTGCAAGATCCTCCCCTTCGCAACCTCCAACGCGCCTCTCTCCGCGACGTCACACGTAATATACAAAACGCCCTCCCCAAAGACCTCATCGCGGCTGTTTTCTGGAACAACCTTGATATCCAGCACAGCGACACTCGCCCCGCGCATGCTATACATCTGCGCAATCAACAGACCCAGCCCACTCGCCCCTCCGGTGATAAGCACAACCTCATGCTCGGAATCGACAGTGCGCGGAACGCCGTGGCCGGCGCGCTGGTTGATAATCCGCGCGATGAAGAGGACTGTCAGGGCCGTTGCATAGCTCACAGTGAGAATCCAGGCTGGGTCTGTTGATGGTGTGACCTGGGCGCGCAAGCAGAGGACGAAAATCCAGGCTATGAATGGGTTGAGGAGGGATTTGGAGAATATGCTTATTAGGGTGTCGATTGTCAGGAAGTTGGTGTGTGGATTGGTTGGCCCGGGGGCTGGTTGGCGTGGTTTGGCTGTTGTTCTTAGGAACTGGGGACTTGAGGATATCATTGCAATCTCTACTTTGGCTTTGACTCTGATTCCAGGAGATTATATGTCAGAGATGTGCAGTGAGGAGTAAGAACGCCCTCGGGAGGTTCGAGACGCGTTTTGGTTTTACGGGGCTGATAAGAAGATAAGACGATCTACAACCGACTACATATAACTTTGAAGCTACCTAGGCACCTACGTACTTGATTTCCTCTGCCACTTCTTGGCCGTCCCTTTCCGTCTTAGTGCTCAGACCTTGCCGCTTTTTGCTCACTGAGTAGAACTGAGCACGCCCCTGAGTATCACATAATCACCAGGCTCGCTCAGGGTTGTGATCCACGCACAACAGCCGACGCAACATTATATAAGCTTTTTGATGACTAATACCGGGAACTCGGGAAGACTCGGGCGGATCCTCGACGAAGTCATGTGATCCTCAACTTTATATATCAGATTGATAAGATACATATATGATAGCAAACAACATATCATACCGTTTTTCTCCCCGGGCACTTCTTATACGTATGGCCCACTTCATGGCAGTCCGAGCACCGATTTGGGGCCCTCTTTTTAGGGGGATCCCCCTTTGTAATTGGGAGATCCTCCCCTAAAGCCAGGGCGTGTTCTGCCCCCCGTTTTCGCGCACTTCCCCCTCCCCCTCTCCCATTTAGCTTCACCGGTACGTACGGTGGTAGGGTTTGGGCCAATAAGGTAAATTGCTTGTTTTATACGAATTATTAGTTGCTATGGTAATTAGGGCTAATATACAGATATCAGATTGATAGATGAAGTCGAAGATCACATGACTTTATCGAGGATCCGCTCGAATCCTCCCGAGTCCCAATGATTAGTCATCATAAAGCTTACATAATATTGTGTCGGCTGTTGTGCGTGGATCACAACCCGCTCGCTCACTGAGCATCACCTGATCGTTACATAAGCTGGATGACTCGCTCACTGAGCGTCACCTGAGCGCTCTGACTAGCTGACTGAGCACGACCTGATTATTACATAAGCTCAAGGACTTGCTCCAGCAAAGCGCGGGAGCAGCTAAGTCAGCAGCTCACCTCAATAAAATGCACCACGCTAGCCCCATCCAAATGCAGTTGTTCACCAGGACTCTTGACCGTTGTCCCCTCAACGAAAGGCCGGCGTCACCAATTTGGCGGTCGATCCTGGTTATTTCGCCTCCTGCTGAGAGGCAAATTGATAGTGGGGCTACATTTATTGGTTTTACTATTCTGCGGCTATGCCACTATTCAACTCGCCGAGTCTCGCATTCTACAATACCGTCTCTACATAGTTGCGGAAAATATCCAGCCCTCAATTTTTGGTTCTCTACAATATCTAGGAATATCTCAGAAAACTCCAATTGAGTGATTTGTAAATCCAGTTTAGTGTTTTATTCTTAGGTTTTTTTTTCGCTTGAATAACACTGGCTTATCGCTCTTACTCCCTGCCCGCTTGCTCCTAGGAATACCACTTCAGCTCTAGCGAGCTGGACATCCGCAAAAATATTCTAGACCAATCGATTATGTCTACTGGATGATCTAGCCGCCCATGACGAAATTTGCGGCCCCTCATTTGCCCAACATATTCAAACTAGCTATCAGGAAATACCTCATCCTAGCTGAAGTCCGAGAGGACTTCCTAGGAGCTCCAGGCCTTTAGTGCCACCACAATATGAATGATATCAATCCTAGGAGCTTAAATGCTAGTACCCATTCGCGAGAACTATGGCTACTAATGCTGAGAGTCAAAGTATATAAATGGAACCCCGATCCCTCCTTAAAGGAAAATATCCAAGTTTCAAGCATTTCTCAAGGTCCCATGAAGACTGATCATAATTTCAAGCAACCGTCAGCATTCTAGGTCTGGCATAGTAGAGGGCTACCTAACAGGGGCGACAGCTGGAAATTTCTTTTTGCGCTTAAGGGGCGTCCCCGCATCTTCCATATCTAATGCTCAGGGCATTTCTGGGCTCTACGACACTCTTCTGGGCTCTGCGACACACTGTTCAGGGTCCAAAAGACCTTTTTAGGGGAGGGCGTATTCCAATGGAATTTGCACACGTGATATTTGCTCCTTTTCAAAAAGGCGATAATCTATTGAAAAGACACCTAGAATTTTTCCTGATTCATCGATCCGAAGGAGAAAAATTCGCATTTTAACAAAGGAGCACCGTATGGACAGTCTGGTGAATAGCATGGTCAATTTGTATCAGGGAACGGAAAGCTTGGAGGCCAGTTTCAAAACTGTCAATGGATATCCGCTCGAGGCCATAACGCGGGAACAGATGGTAATGCAGGAACTTGGTGACTTGGCAAGTCGCTACATACCTTGAATCTCGACCACATCTCAAAATTTCAATTACATCACCTCCTTTCCAATGGCAAAGACTCTGGAGGAATTCGCTCAATTAGAGCCACTCTGGGATAAAGCGATCCAATCCCCAGCGGAAATTTCAACCGAGGAGAAGCACCGAATGATGGAATGGCCGCCTCGTGCGGAGATGGAAACCACCACCCAGAAAGCCCTCGGAATTTCAGTCGATGAACTGGTTCAAAAGGCTGCCACGACTCCAGAGTCTCTAACATACCCGGAATGTCGTCTGATACGTGACAATTTCCGTATGTTAGGATACAGGGACCTGAGTGATCGATGGGAATGGCCGTTTATGCGGCCCGATCTTCAAACCAAGAAAAGGCAAGCAGAAGAGGCAGCCTTGCCATCACTGGAGCGAGAGGCCATTCGGAACTTAAACGAGGTCTTCTACGAGAAGGAAACGACAGAGCTTGGCGCAAGACATGCAAAGCGAAAGCCACTAGTATTCGGTATGCCGCCCGAGTGGATACAAAGGATCATCGACCAAGGGGATGACAAGAGTTGGGGCTATGTATTCTACTATCACAAAGATATAGCCGGATGGAAGGAATTTTTGGAGCTCTTTAATAGCATGCTCGATATGGGTCCATTTCTTGATGGGGCCACAGAAATTAAAGATTTCAAATTGGCGCAATTTATCCTATTCGAGACGGCAGAAAGTGACATCGGCCATCTGCGACAGTGAGTGTTGCTTCCATATAATATTGAAAGCAAGTATTAACGCATAAGCTAGGGATTTTCTCAGTCGACGCGAGAGAGGCGATCTAAGAACTGGAATCCTCAAGAACGTATTCTTCTTGTTAACAGATGAAGCTCGACAATCATTTGCCACCTATGGGGATGAACAGTTTGTTGGTTATGTTTGGGCGATCGACCCTGAGTGGTCTTCTTCGGGTCCCGATGGGGATGGTTACGACGGCCGACTCAAAATCAATGCACCCCAAATCTTCTGGCGGTTCTACGAGTTCATGTCGAGCCCTGATCCCCCTTTTTCACTCAAGGATATTTGGCGTGACTTTCATGCTGTCAATACCGAAAAAACATATCCTAGATGCTTTCCGGAGCCGACTGCGTGGCATTTCACGAACCTTGATAAGCCCGCCTGGCCTTTCAACTAACTTCCCTGGAGTTCCAGGTGCGACTGTTAGTCTGGTAGCCTGCTGATTTTATCTCCTCGTGTCCTCTTCTTGCTGCAGCCAGCAAAGTCCAACGGTGACCCACGAAACTCTGGCAGAGTTCTTCTCAACCCCCATTCGCATTAGCTCTGATAGCGATTCAATAGTGGGTGTTCTATCCCGCAGGCTTTGTTTCCGTGCTCCTGCCATCGAGAGGTCCGCATTCCATTCACTCTGGCTCCCATTCCTACAAAACGGAGTCTGCGAAGCAAATTCGATACCGACATCTACGCCGGATTACCAACAGATCTTTGCTGCCATCATGAAAGCCTACATCAACAACTGCATCGGTGAAATGCCTTCCCAGGACGGTAGCTATGTCCGACACACCGTGGGAGCTTGTCGCTTCGATTGCTCCTCGCTCGACAGATTCCTGAGTGATCCCGCCCGGACAGTCGGCAGATTCTCCGTGAGCAAGCAACGCAGCCAACATTTACATAGCATAATCGACGCTGCTGGAATAGACTGTACACATAAAAGCGAACGAATCGGATTTCCGCAAACATTGGTCGTGACCAAGACTTTCCGTCATTGTGAACGGGATGTTACAGCGTGGAGAAAAAGAAAGGCGGAAGCCGGACTCAGGCTCCTCGACTTCAACAAGAGGGATTTGACTGTTCAGCTCGGAGAGGAATACGAGGGACTTATGGGTATGGTTGGTCTTGGACCCTCTTCTGGTCGGCGTCCAGCAAGAACGGTGTCGCCGCCACCACCCAGAGTCTCGCGTGGACAAGCACGGCCAAGCGCCTCAATCGACTTCAACTCTAAGTCTAAGAAGAGAAAGGCAGCAGATATCGACATGGTTGATTTGACGGGAGACGATTGAGGGGTCCTTTCTCTGCCAAGTTTTATTCGAATATGATGTATAACTAAAACACAACAATCTGATTATGACAACAAAATGCATAGTAATTGGTTTACTTAAGATCCATCTAACAATGGCTTTTCTGTCCTTTCTCGCGATGGGAGAAGAAGAGGATGAGAGATAAGGACTCCGTGGTTCAATTACATATGTAGGCAGGGGCTCAGGGCAGGAATGGAGCTCAAAACGATGGTCGAATCAGAGAGACACTGAGTATAAGAAATGATGACTTTGAGGAAACCTAGGATACGTCAATGACAGTGGCAAGTTGGTGGGAAATAACTGTACACCTAGTTGAGGCCTCATTGACCACTGTGGAGGGAATTAAGCACTTGATACCTTCAGAAGGTCCTGAATCAATCTACAAGGTGTGTTGTCACTGGTGAATTGGCGTATGGCCAGGAGCATGCATGATCTTAGCTTGTTGATACCAAATTTGTTCATATAAAGCGAGCGTTTCTTATCATAGTACTTATGTATTCAACATGTGCCATCTCAGCCTTCTCACTGTCTTGGTGACCGGTGTCTCGATCCGCCACAGCCTCATCAATTCCCTCAAAGAAGCGGTGCTGTCCAAACTCAGCCAAGCTAACAACCTC